GAATTAGCAATTTAACTCTAAGATACAAGTATATCTAGCGAAAGTGTCCCGAATAGGACGAAACGTGCATCTTGGATTCCATTGCTAGCCACCATCGAAATCTGTTTATAATGAGTTAGTCGGTTATTGTCAAGTCCTTAAAAATGGTCGGTCGTAATGATGTTGAACTGGTTTTATTTATAATCTATACTGTTCATAGACTAGGAGACCTGTAATAAAACAACTTCCCAGACTTTTAGAAATATGATATACACATGGTGTATCGTTAGATAATATTTCTATTCATATATATACCATACTAGTTTTGGGAGCTATTGAAAAGTCAAATATTCCTGATATTATTCAATTTAACCTAAAACTATATTCATTTGGGAATTATTTCATCTATTTTCCTCTGAGTGTGTGACTGCTTAACATCATCTTCAATAAACCTTAATGTTCTTTCCATCATACAGTCTAAATAGTAAACAATAAGCTCTTCTAAAAAAGAACCTTGAAATTTCCACTATAATAGAAGTAAATGGATATTATCAGTATATCTGTATACTGTTATGTTAAAAACGGTTATGTTAGATAATGCTGTTTGAAATTTAAAAAAACCCTTCTGAACAATCTGTCAGGTAGCAATTACGAAGAACTACTTAGCTTGCTCTATAAACGCAACCCTGCAATTTCTAGATTGAAACCGTGCTGTTAACCAATAGTAATTTTATATGCAACAAAACATTTTTATTTGTTAAGGTTACTATTCCCAAAATTATGCATATGACAAACAAACATCAATTTAGGCCTCTACTTATTGTCTCCGCTTACTTGTTTGCTTCATTTACACATAAAACCTGCATAAACTAATGTAAATCCTCCTATTATTAAGACTCATTATGTAAGACTTGCCAAGAAGACTGAATAAGAGACGGTTAGTACGAAAATATTGTTTATTAACTTAACCAAGTGATTTCAATGGTTGAGATCATGAGTCAATTGAAGCTATACCACCATGGAAAACCTGAAAGCACTGGACAGCCCTTTCGTCCTACTGTAAGACTCCTCAGCCGTGCGCATCCACGATCCCGTCCCCCACGAGATTCAAACCCTGGACCTATCAGTGTCGCACGCGAGCGCTTAACCACTAGACCACTGAGCCTTCAGTTGACTCATGATCTCAACCATTCAACTTACTATAATGTCTACAAAAACCCTTCTGATATAAATTAATCAAGTGACTTGATTAACCCCACTCAAAAAGTAAATTTCTACATTTAGATAAAGTCCTTAAAATATGGTCAAAAGATGTAAATTTTTTAGGCATAACTAGACAAAAGTGTATTCAACCACTCTAAAATACCTCCCTGTAAATAAATTCACAATTTATATAGCTTCCCTTTTCCACACATCCCAAGTAATTTCTTACAAACCTTCTACAAATATTTGTAATCTCATGCGGGGAGTTTCAACCAACTAAATATCAGGAAATAACAAATGATGACGGAAAAGAAAAGCTAAAAATGATACCATATTTTAATCAAATTCTAAATCCATCTATCAGCATCAGACTATAAAGAATAAGCTCTTAATTTTCGTAAACATAACGTTTATTGTCTTCTATCCCTGATGGTCTTTCATCGTTTTTGAGTTCGTCACAGTTATCTTAATTTACCAAAATACCTAAAATAAGTAAGCTTAACCAAATGATAAAAATACTTTTAGATTATAGAGCATTACGAATGATTTATAGCTAGCCAATCAAAAGTATTCATATAGTTCAATTCAACTCATAACACATTACTGTGTAGGATATTAGTTGTTCTATTCACTGTATGAATAGACAGAGATGTGGCTTGACAATCACATACTATAACTGTGCATTTTATTTACATGTAACCTAAAATATTATTGAATGAGTCAAAGTAAAAATGTGAATACTGACAAAACCATCACAATTTGAGTTGGATCATGTGAATACATATACTGATCGTTAGAAAATGTGTACAATGAAGAACGAAGCGTCCAAGTTCATAACCCTTATTTCGAACTCTGTGAAATAAATCAAATTCAAATCAAGTCTGTATTTTAATATACCATCTATTATCTTAGTCTTTTCTTGTAAATTAAACAAACAATGTGCAAAAGATAAGTTCTTTAAGTGTATCCTAAACGTTTTTGCTTAGAAAAATGTATCTAACTGAGATGATTAGGGTAAAAGATTGTCTAACTACAAAAGTTTGATGATCAAATTATAAACTCACATTAAATTCATAAACCCATTACTTATGCATCAACGTAAAGTAGTGAGTAACATATTCTTTAAATACAATACTTTAGTATAACTGCTTCAATATATATATAAACTAGTAGAATAAAATCCTTTGCATATGAACTAAAGAATGTACTTAAAAATTTTTGATTGAGATCATGAACCGATCGATGTTAGACCACCTTTGGAAACCTGGAAGCACTGGACGGCCGTTTCGTCCTATCGTGGGACTCCTCAGCGGTCCGCATCCACAATCCCGCTCGCGGGATTCGAACCCAGGGCCTTCGGTCTCGCGCGCGAACGCTTAACCTACTGGATCACTGAGCCGGCATCCAATGGTGATAGTGTCTAGCATCAACCAATCCACGAAACTGCACGACCAACTTCCACTGTACTGAGGTAGATACCTGTCTCTACCCGACAAGGATTAGCTCCATTGGTCATGGCTTCTCACTAGAACTCCGAGAATTCCCTCACGAAGCTAGTCACTAGTGAGCACATGTTGATTACAATTGACTGATCACTGAGTAATGACCTATTTTATGTTTGTCTAATCTTTTAGTGTTGGTTAAATTGCAACATTATCAACCACCTAATGTGTCAACATAATGCATGCGAGATCTGATCGCTTAGACTAGTGGTCATACTGTATCTTGGTTAATATAAGTTGTTCAGCATTAAAAGACTAGATAGAAATGAAATTGGTCACTACTCAGTGATCGATCGATTGTAACAAAGGTTCTAAAGAATCTGGGAATGCGAACTAGACAAATATTTTAAGTCAAATTTACCAAGTCAAAATGAAATGAAAAGTTCATACTCTTCATTTTTATTAACAAGTCATTTGAAGGTTAACTGCTGAAACGTGATTAATCTTAAATGATTTTGCTTTTTGGATATTCACAGGAAAGCACTAGTAATGCTTACTAATCTTTTCGAATGCACTCAATTTTTTTACTTCATTCTTTTTGTTTAATCAAACTTTGATTATCATTTTGACCTTAATTGATTAGATTTGGTATTTGCGTAACCAAATGCTTAGATTTTCACGTTTCTGTGTGTCCAATATACTTGTCCTTGCACACTGTTGAGTAAAGTATTTTATATAGTGGAACTAGCATCACTACATGCAATTTACTACCTAGTTCTACCTTCAGTTTTTGGTTAATCTTCCTAGTAAATTGATCCCAATTTAAAATAATTAAATACTTTTGAAGTAATCATCTGGAGGAAACCAACTTATCATCGTGACGCTACTCACTTTTCCGGCTTACTTTAATAAACCTTACTTCTACGGCAGAATAGTTCTCACGTTTGTTTACACAAAGCAACAGTGTAAAACATTTGTTGCTCAAATAATTTACTCTGATCTTTTCATCTACATGTTTCAAAGTAAGGAGTAGAAAATATCAGCTAAATTAGATCAAACTACTTGTACCTATCCTATCTGTTCAGGTATCTCGTTACCAAATACAATTACCACTTAACTGAAATTTTATAATTCATGGAAAACATCTTTACATATAATCCTTATTTGTTGTTAGACCTAATAATCTATCAAACTACTGTGATTGTGTGTGTATTTAAGTTTACTCACTGTCATTTCAAATTATTTCTTTATTCGCTATAATTGTCTGTAAGTTTGTTACTATCAAGCGTCTTCACTCTGGTACATTGTACTCAAATAATTCCAATAGAATAGCATACTACACTTCATTATTTTTAATCGGTTGGACTATGCTACTAAAAGTTAAGTAATTCACGGTAATCGAGTAGTTCTACTGAGAATATTTTGCGCTAACAAACCAAATAACAAGATGTGGTTACAAGTTTCAGTATACCTAATAATAATCTTAAAGTAACAGGTCTTTCACTGAATAATTCTACTGAATATTTAAAAGAAAGAATATGCGTGCCCTAACAGATTATTCAGTGGTAACCAATCCTAAATTGTCTAGTCCCGAATGCTAATCAAATTCTAATAATCAAATTGCCACTTGGCTAAATGACTCTAATCAAGGTCAAGGCTCATCTAATGTTAGATGGCTGTTACCAAGAAGTTTGGAATTTCAGCTTTTTAATGGTTCTTACTCTCTATCAAAGCCAATTAACAACCTTGAGAGATTCTAACATCTGTCAACCAGTATCAGGGCCTAAGATGCAACTGATTCTTTCGTATCAGTGCCGATATTTCGTCAGAATCCAAACTACTACGTATTATAAAACTTTTTAAAATAAATAAAGTCGTCTTTACTTCCATTTAACTTGCTCAGATACAGAACAGCCTTGAAGAAATAATTTTTCCCGGATAGTGATTAGTTTGGTTTATTTGTTGTAAAGCGGGAACAAAATCAAGACCCAAAGGTTTATTTTTAAGAACACAATGAAAACTCTGAAGTAAGGGTCAATAAAAGTCTTCAAATGGTTATGATATGCTCAGTAGTTTGGACATTCAAATTATAATGATTGGGTTACAAGTTTCAATCATGGTTTCCAAACCATAATGTGTGAATTAACATTATAGTTTATTTAGGCGTCTAGTACTCGAAAGTTCTTGCAGTTATCAAGACAAATTTGATTGTTAATACTGTCACGCGCCCTTATTAAAATTTTTCCTTGGATATATTTAATAAAAACACGTTATATAACAAGTTGAATTGTGAAGTCGTTAATAACAATAACATTTCCCAGTTTGAACGGTAACTTCAAATATCAGACTTTTAATGGAGATTTCTCAAAGAACCTCCGTTACAGAAAAAGCAAACAATTACATGCGATTAATACTTTTTAGCTTTACTAACGTATTATTTATTAATAAACATACGTGAAACTTATGCAATTACCATATGAATTTTAATGGATGGGGTACTAATACATCATTCTTACATATCTTTACTGGAAGTAATAAAACTAGAATCTTATTGATACTTTATTAATTACAAACAGTGATCGTCAGCCAAAAGTGCAAAACAGATTCTCAAAGACTAGTCGCTTGATTTCTTTTGAGCTTTTAAATGATTTTGTGAAACAGTCTTGAAAACATCAATCGGAATCCAATACGTCGATTTATCTTCTTCTTGAATGTATGGTGACCGAATCACAGGGCTCTTCGACTTAACATCACAGTCTTCACTTGATTTCAAAGTTCCATTCTCTTCCAACTTAAGACCGCCATTTATGCGTCTTCTTCTTGAAAGTTTGTAAATATCGTTCAACAAATCTATACTGATGTTTCTAGCCTCCTCACTGTCTACAAACCATTTTGGTGGTATTGATGGAAATTTGTCGAGTATTTTCACTGCCTAAAATGTAGTTATTAGGGTGATGAATTCAATATCAATACCTCCTTAATTTTATCAACTTTGTACGTCTCCTTTAGAGCGCTAACAATAATATCACTATTCATCTTAATCAGTAAAACAAGTCATTGACTAGTTTACTACAATTTAGCTTGTATCCTTATGACAAAAAGCCCGATCGATTATGCAAAAATTTCTAATCAAAAATGTGTTCGCACAAAAACTAATCTAGTAAGTACGTTATGTAAAATAATAGCAGTAATTTGGATTGTTTCCAATATTTTTTCCACTTTTCATAAAATGACGTTCCTGATGTTTTTCATAATAAATCCAATAATCTTGAGCAAAAGACGACAATCAAATAGCCTGTTCTCTTTTCATAAACTTTTTCAAAATTATTTTACCTGAAAGATAAAGTGATATGATGTAAATAAATCACGTTTGAAATTTCATTTGAGTGTTCCAAACATGATAACTGATTTATATAACATCTAAGATACGTTAAAGTTCTCTTTATGATTTAAAACAAGGTATCCCTACCATCAACTAATGATTCCAAATGCTCACCAGCTTTGCTACACATTTGGACCACTTACTTCATCGTTTAAACTAAACTTACAGGTATAAAAAGTTTATTTACTGAGTAAAAGTTTTCTACAATAAACAATAGATGCAATACTAAAATGCATAGGGATTTTTATCCGTGCAAACCGTCTGCTACTTAAATTTTGTTCTGGATTAAATTTGTATCCTGTCAGTTATGCCAAACACAGCAATGATGAAATAGTAACTGAAATACCAGTTCAAAAGTTAAGCTTTTCTAATTACTGCAAGTATTTTAGGTGATACATTAAAAAATTAACGCAAAACCCAACCCGAATGTTGTTTATTCATCAACTTTATGGCTTTTAGTAATAATATTTGGTAATTAGCAAACTTATGATCTAAGGAAAAACGAAGGGTAAATGCATCTGGGTCACTGCATAGAATTTTGAGCCTTGTCACCCAAATCCTCTAGCCAATGAACGATATCTATACGATGAGGTGTGAGCCTTTAAAACTAGCCTCAGTATCTTCCCTAAGTTTTCCAAGACATGTTTAAGGCCCAGCAATGTGAATTATTTTCTCTAAAACAAAGAAATTGAGAATAGAGACAGCTGCAAAATATACAGAATGTTCTATCTAGCTCGTAATGACGTGGATGTTGAGTTAATAATGATGTGAAGAACAAAGTTCAGTATCTTTTGGTTTCGGCAGATTTTAGAACAGTACTGACATCGGAGATTTTCTAAACTTATAAAAAGTTTACTCATTACTCGTTTTTGTGTAGGCGGCAAGCCCTTGCTTTGAGGAAAATTCATTTCTCTTGGAAAGGGTTCGAAGAGTCGACGAAACTATGAACATCACCAGTTAGATGTTAAATCTTTTGACACTTTCCTACTGAAGATACCTCTTAATACTTGGAAAAACAGGTGAGTTCAAAAACCAGTGACGAACGGTATCTCGGTGGAATATATGCTTCCCACCGAAACCCAATGATATGTGAACAAATATCCAGCTTCTTAAATATACAACAAACAACAACCTGTCAACCACTGATAATGATCCAACTAACTGGTTGGATTAATTATTGTGTAGTTGACAGTTTTTATATCACAAGTGGTCTGTATACCCAATACCCAATTTTGGAGAAACGTGTTTTCGTTTCGGATAAATTTTGGGAAGGCCGCAGTTGAAAACTTTGGGGAAATTTCGAGGAGACGGCACAAAAAAACCCCGGAATTTCCCCAGGTTTGAGGAAAATCTTCAAAGTGTTTGGGTGAATATCGGGCTTTCCCTAATATTTCTCCAGCATCTTGAAACGCTTCGAAGTTTTTCCCCAAAGTTTAGGAAAAACTACGAAACTTCTTACGACTTTGCAGAAGACCCCTAAGGAGATCGGGAAGTTTCTCAAGCAACCCAAAAAGGGGAAATAAAGGCGAAGAAAGGGGAAATAGAGCGGACGAAGGCGTAAATAAAGGGGAAATATCGCGGTAATTACCGCCACCAATATTGTACCTCTATCACTTTATCAATCGAACTTTTTGTGTCTTTGAATTACTAAAATATCAGACGCCATTAAATAACTTTCCAAATCGTCTGACCACCCTGTCTCCCTACTTCGCAAGATTTTTTTATCAATTTTGGTAAGGTACGACTAAGAATCCCAAACTTCTCTCTGAACTGAGGGCCTCCTAAAACACATTCTCAAAATTTCCAGAAAATCATATGAAGTTCGTTAATAACTACCCAGAATTCTCGTTGTCTACAGTCTTACTGATAAAGGCAAAAAGAACAAAACTGAACACCGCGTTGTCATGACAACACTGCAATCTTCCAATATCCAATGTGTCTAAAATGGTTCAAATTGTTCAAATGGTTGTGGACGGAATAGAAGAAGCTTTCGCTTAACAGGCTTCTGTGTCTAGTAGCAGGGGATCACCAAATCCTCCAGGTAGGAACCTAGGTATGTTAACAATAAAAGAGGAAAAGAAATTGGTAAATCATAGTGTGATGCTGTCCTTGATCCTTAAGAATAGGTCAAGTTGCCTCTTGAAGGACTCCTGAGAAGTCGCTTGGACTAGCTCGACCGGCAGCGAATTCCAGATTTTGACAACTCTTAAGGAGTAGAAGTTGTGTCTACATTCCGTCTTGCTATGTTGTGTTTCCAGTTTCTGGGTGTTACCCCTTAGGTTATTATTCGAACTAAGCTTAAGTAGGTGTTTAAGAGGATGTCCAGAAGTGTTAAGAATACTATAAGCCATTAATAAATCACCTCTAAGACGCCTATATTCTAGTGGGTAAAGGTCTAGTGAACGGAGGCGTTCTTCGTAAGGCTTAGATTTGAGTCCTCGAACTGATTTCGTGGCTCGCCGTTGGATACGCTCCAAGGTGACCTTGTCCTTTAGGAGTGAGGGGGGAGTACTATGTTTCCGTACTCTAAATGGGGACAGATGAAACTATTGAAGATTGTGTGGAAAGTTCTTCCGTCAAACTGTCCAAAAATGCGCTTCAACATTACCAGTGCAAGGTTTGCTCGGAAGGCATTTTTGTCACAGTTAGCGTAAGACTTTAAGTCATGGGGCACCAGGACTCCTAAATCTTTTTCGACTTGGGATACTACTAGAGAGGAGTTTCCTAAATTGTAACTGTAGTTTGCGACATGTCGCAGATGGACTACTTTACACTTTGAAGTGTTAAAGGTAAGTCCGTTATCGTCTGCCCAACTTTGAAGTCGCGTCAGATCCTCCTGAAGTCCCTGTGTATCATCTTGGTTGCCTATCTCTCTCCAAAGTTTCACGTCGTCGGCAAAAAGTAATAAGTCTGACGTTACCTGTTGAGGGAGATCATTTATGTAGATCAAGAAGAGAAGAGGCCCTAGTACTGAGCCCTGGGGGACCCCACTAGGACATTCCATAGCCTGAGATAAAGTGAAATTAACCCTAACCTTAAAGTGTTGATTTTTTAGGTATGAAGTAAGCCAGTCCATTAGAGGTGGTTTGATACCTAGTCGTTTGAGCTTGTTGATAAGACATGTATGGTTAACCTTATCAAAAGCTTTTGAGAAATCTAGGTAGATGACATCAACCTTTCCCTTGCGATCGAGGATGCTTGTCCATCTGTCCACCGCAGTCAGCAGGTTGGTTATACAAGAGTAACCCTTCCTGGAACCATGCTGTTGGGGTGAGAAGAAATTTAAGGACAGTAGATAGTCGTTTAAACCGTCGCATATCAGGGACTCCATGAGTTTTGAAGGTAATGACAGAAGAGCTACCGGCCGATAACTTGAAGGTTCATTGCGTCGACCGCCTTTGAAAATTGGTGTGATGTGAGCCAACTTCCAATTTTCCGGTGGTTTGCCCCGGCTTAGCGAGTGTGAAAACATCACGCTAAGCGGCGTTGCCAGGATTGAGGCTGCCTCCCTCAGTATGGCAGGATGAACCATATCCGGGCCAGTAGAAGTGTCTAGTCTTAAGTGCTGCAAATCCCGGAACACCAAGTCAGCACTTAGGTTCACTTCGGAAAGTCCTATGGAATTGCAGATGAAACTGTCGTCAGTAAAGTTGAAATGTCTGAGAGTAATGTTCAGCTAGAAGGTTAGTGGCGTCGCCATCATTGTTGGTCGGGCCGTTAAGACCTACCAGTTTGGAAACTCCAGTTTTGGCTCGACGAAGAAAAGCCGCATAACGGAATAAGCTTTCAGGATTGAAGGCAAATTTGTCCGCAAGCTTTGTCTGGTACTGAAGCCTATCTTCTATTATAGCCTTCATGCATATATTCCTTATATGTTTATATTGCCTGTACGCTCCGTCGTTGTCAGTTCGTTTGTATTCCGCCTAACAGTGCCTTTTGCGACTTAGCAGTCGATGAGTACGGTTCTTGATTATTGTAGGTGGCTTGCAGCTTTTGGGAACCGTTTGAGGAACTGAACGGTTTGTAGCACATAAGAGCGTGTGCAATAAGAAGTCCCAACGACCGTCCACATCGAGTTGAGGGTGAACATCCCAAACCACCTGTTACAGATAGTTGTGTAGAGCTGTCACATTCAACCGTTTGAAATTCCAACGCAAGTTATTGGTGGGATAGCTTAGCTAAGTTGTGCTGACAAAACCGAAGGCTATGACGGCATAATCGCTTTTTCCCAGGGGAGCCAGGATTGAGAGGTTTTCAATTAGGAATTCTTCGTTTGTGAATATGCAGTCTGAGCGTGATGGTGTCTGACTGTTTCTCCAACGACTTGCCGACCTCACATTTTCGTATAATCCCAAGTCATCGATGAGGCTGAAGAACCGAGCTTCAATTGAGTTGTCGCCTCCAGTATGACTTAGTCCAATCGACTTTCCAGGAGTCCTTCAAAAGAAAACTTGACACGTTCTTCTGAACTTATTACAGTGGTTAACTGTAATTTTCTACTAGTTCTCTTTTGATTATTAGATATACCTAGGCTCGTACCTTAAGACATTGGTTATCCATGCTATTAGATGAGACAGCCCGTTGAGCGAAAGTTATCATTCCGCCGACAAACATTTGGACAAGAAGATAGTATCTGTAAAGTAGACATGAAAGGTCTCCAATCACATGCATCATATTGCTCATAATTACATTGATTCTAATTCATTATCAAGATATGAAGCACCGAATTGCACCCAAGAAATCATCCCCAACTAATGGAACACGAATGAGCAAATAGAAATGTACGTATTGTTTTCACTGCTGAAAACTATAGATTGTGTAATTCTCTACCAAAAGCGATGGTGTTATTTCTTACCACTGGCAATTTCAAAAGACTGTTTTATAGCTAGTTTTATTCCAACGGTACTTTGGGTGATTAGGTATTCTTCCTTGATCACTCCTGTTATTAACTATTGTTTTCATCGGATTTACAAAGGCTTCAAAATAGGGATATTTAGACAATTCTAAATCGAATTTCAAGATACAAATATTTCCCTACTTCTGTACTTATGAGTTTTGAAACACGAGGTTTACCTCAAGGTTGACTTGCTTGCGTATTTTCAAACAGTCACAAGTTCAAATTCAGCTTCATATACCGGGATTTATTACCTGGATAGTGGTGTCGGTCCACACTCAGTATATGTGACTATCGCCCCAATACATTGAATTCCCAGTGGTTGAAAAACCTCATTTCCCTCCTTCTTGCTAACAAATCGTTTAGATAATTAAATGGATAGTTCGAAACAAAATAGTATAGTAATAGATGTCAAGTTTACTTTTCCCAAAACTCAGGCTAAAATAGGAGTTCCTACAAATTTCTTCTTGATAGTAGCAGTTTTAGGATGTAGAATTTTCCTCGGCGTATGAGAGTACGCTAGGTTACATTTCGCGTAATGACTGTTTCTGTTAGAATATATTAGGTTACACTAATTTGAGATTTCAGTACCTCTCAAGACGTTGTCCTTTTGGAGTTTGACCTATAATGGGTTACTTTGACGAAGATTTCCCCGCGACATTTTTAAGATATGAAGATTCAGTAATCCCTAAAACAAGCTTGAATTTTGGAGCTTTTGTTTCCTATTGCAGCTTCTCCAACGTTGGGAGATTACATTTACTTAAAGTAATCGATATAATAGCATTTCTATTCGTTACTGTCCAATGTCATAAGTCTCATGGGTTAGGTAAATTAGATGCGTCTTTAGATTGTCTGAAAAGTGTATGAGAATAAAGGTGTGGTTTTTAAAGGATGGACGAGGATCATCGCAAACTCGGATAGAGTGTGGTTCAAGATAATGAAGTAACAATAGGTTGATATTAAGGTAACTTCCTGCCATTCTAAAAATTTTCAAGATGAACGTGATGGTCCTCTTGCTGAGTCAGTCAGTCAGTCAGTCAGTAACAACGTAGAACTTCGTACGTACGTACATCAGTTCGAGTTGCCACACCACATTAGCACAGAGATGCAGTGGTCGATTCAAATCCCGTAGTGGTAGAGGTAGCAAGAGTATAAGCAGTAATCGGGAAGATTAGGGTTTGGAGATGTTATTTAAAGAGTATAATCCAGTGAAAGAAATTTGGAAAGAGGGAAAAAGGGACATGAAGAATTCAGAAGATTAGAGTTTTGGAGAACACAGAGAGTGGATGCACCTGCGCCATTGCGAACGATTTCGAGCCATGTCATTCAGGGTCTCTAACCATCGGTTGCTGTCATCTCGCGGTCCCCAACCAGGTAGTCTACACCTACCAACATGACTCAGTTCACTTGTCACTGACTTCATGGACTTGTGCCATGTTTTGGTTTGGCCGCCCCTAGCTTTCTTCCAACCTACTCCTATACCACTGAACATAGCACGTCGAGGCAGTCGGTCGTTGGGCATACGTAACACGTGTCCCAGCCATCTCAACTGATGAAGTTTCACTACGTCATCAATTGATTTGCCATCCTTACCTAGTACCCGTTTCCTAACAACTGTGTTACTTACTCGATGGTCCCATGATATACGAGCAATGTTTCGAAGACACCTATGATCGAATACTAGTAACCTACGGATATCCTCTACTCTTATCGGCCATGTTTCACTGCCATAAAGTAGGACGGAACGAACTGCTGCACAGTAAACACGTCCTTTGGTTGATAGACGGATATCTCGCCTACGCCATAAATGACGCAAGTTGGCAAAAGCTAGTCGAGCCTTCTGTACTGTAGATGTTTATACTGATATTTAGAAACAATCTGGGTTAGTGAAAGTAGATATTCTTAACAACCCTCGCGCCCCCATTCTAACCAGAGTTATGAAAGCGAAGCCCTTGAGATAATCGAGATTAAACGTAAATCCTTCGGAAATTTTGGTCCAATTCTATGCTGTAAAATAGATATTTCACTTAACCAGTCAGCTGTACTGGCGCTGCTGGCCACTCCTGAAATTTAGTTCTAAAAGTAAATTGTTATGACTGACCACGTTTATGGTCTAGTTTTATATTTATATTCACCAATCCACTTCATATCTGATTCGCATCCCGTCCTGAATACCTACCTATGTTTCTGTACAGTAGGTTTATTGTCTTTTCTAGCGGATTTGGTCCAAAGATGACTCACTGAAAAACTCCAATCAAATTGCTGCGCACTAATGTCTGTTGGTATCGTTTATGGTGATCAGTATAGACGGCTGTGTTGTAGCTCACCTAAGTTTGGCGACAGATACGCCTTGGTCATGGATTTAATCAATGCATACAAACTCATTCCAGAACTTTCTCGTGTGCCTCCCTTACAGTGGGATTCACCTAGTCGCATGTATGAAGCAGTGACTACCTTTCACTCGTAAGTATTTCCGTAGATTATTTAAGTGAGTTAGTTTACTGTTCAATCACTTTAATGAGTAAAACAAATCGAATTCAGTACTCCCATTGTAATTACTTAACCATTTTCCTTTGTTATCTACATCTGTATTTAAAACAAGTAATTGCTAGTTAGCTTCTATGTACATTACAAATGTTCTTGAATTAAAAGTATCTTGTGTGTTTTAGAACCAGTTTGTATCTACATTGATGTAGTTAAATTTATCTGCAGCGGCAACTCAGTCGAACTACGGTAATATGTTGCTATACTGAGATAAATTGGAAAATGTTGGAACTGAAAGCAGTTACTGTTGTGGTGCGAAGAACTAATTTAATGAGATCGGAGTTCGCCCCATTTATCAAGGGCACCGTATCTAGTACATGGTAAAAACTTGTAGAATACGACGAGGCCAAGTATTTGTACATAAAAATTTTAATCCCTTGAATTTTTTGGGTCCAAATTACCGTGAATATAGCTCTGGCAGTAACCCTTTGCTTAGTTCATGGTTTAGCTTTTCACAGTAATGGACTTAAGTCTTCATTGAATGGTTCGGTGGAGAGCGAAACATTCTGAAAACTTTCCACTATCGATCAATAAAAGTTAAAAACAGACCATAAGAAGAGCAAAATTATAATGTTTCTACCTATTTAAAAGCCCCAGCAGTCAGCTTATCGCAATGTAGAGATAATCCAGTTATCACAACGTTAATCTTAGGGAACTAATAGGATTTCTTAAGTCGGAATCTAAATGTACTATATTTGAAATATTATATTTTATTTTCATACAAATTCTACATGTCTTCGTAGACCCACATAATTCTTTATTGTTCTTGATATCAATTTTATTTTCTATTTTTCTTCAGTAAAGAATATGTTGATGCTCTTAAAAAATTACAAATGCTACACATTGAGGAGAAAGAATTGACTGCTGATGACGAGTTACTTATGGATTCATTTAGTCTGAATTATGACTGTCCTGGTTTTCCTAGTGTTTTTGATTATTCGTTAGCTGCTGTTCAAGGTAGTTTAGCTGCAGCTAATGCTTTAATCTGTCGTCATTGTGAGGTAAAACTCTTTACACTATTTATCTTTAGAGCAAAAGTATCAATTGAGTATTATAAGACTTTTGTCGTTCCTACTTCTTACTGAACACAACGTTGCGTTACTATTATTGTTGGTTCTGTTCCCCCTCTGATTTAACTAATAACTTAAGTGAAATACTTTTTTAAAAATTCCAAAGTGGATTCTAATCGCAGAAAAAATTCTCATAAAAAACAGCAATCACTGTTAAAAAATACTTTTTAAGAAAAATTGTTAGCTATTTATGGGTAATAAAGCGATTTATTCCTTCCCCTTCGAGTAAGATCGACTTTACTACAAATACATATTCTCGCAAAGCCGAAAAGTAGTCGTTTCTATTTTGTAATGAGAGTTAAAAGTAAAAATTGTGATTCATAAAAAAGTATTTTAAATACCTTTTTAAATAAAAGAACACCAAAGGTCTATTACATAATAAAATAATCTGAGTCTCATTTTTCGTCTACTAACAGAAAACTTTCTAATGTAGTAAAGTATACATCTTCATATATTTTTAAGTTGGTTTGACACTTTGTTTTGCTTCTTGCTACTGTAAAGTACATTTTGGTTTCTTTAGTATTGCAAAACCCAAGCTATATCAAAGCTTTATTACGAACTACTGAAATTCGTTTTAACAACTAATTAGGTGTTTCATAAATTAGAAAGTGCGATATTTTACATACTCCTGATTACTCCGTCATGTGGCATAACTTCCCTAAACTCTTTTGTAGTTTCTTATAAGCTCGATTCCTAAGACAATCATGTTAACAAAGACTTTGTCCTAAAAATCAAGTTTGAATTGGGCTCTAAAAATGAAGAAAGTAAACCAATGAAAATCGCATAAATGGTTATGGGAATGTATATTTAAGGTCCTTTGAAATTATGGTGTAGCTTTTAGAGCTCTTGACTCGCAAGCAGTAACCATCTGCGTATGTTTATTATGATTGGTTGAGGTTGCAGGTTCAAACTTCACCATACTTCGTTTGGATAACCACCCAACCTCACACAAAATGTATGGTTTAATACCGATTATATAAATTTTTTTTGGTAAGTTCCATTTTATTATTACTTGTGTAGCCATTTCATTATACCCATTAATTACTTACCGTATTACTAGTTTATATTTCACCCCACTGGTCTTTTTAAAATCGTTATTTTTATCCCCAACTTTAGGTCGTTATCAACTGGGGCGGTGGGTGGCATCATGCCAAAAGAAGTGAAGCTTCTGGATTTTGCTATTTAAATGATGCCGTTTTGGCCGTCCATCGACTGGTTTCATCAACTCCATCAGAAATTTCACCCAACAGACAGACACGAGTATTGTATGTTGACCTTGATCTTCATCATGGTGATGGAGTAGAAGAAGCTTTTTGGTATAGTCCTCGTGTAGTTACGTTTTCCGTACATCATGCCTCTCCTGGTTTCTTTCCCGGTACAGGAACCTGGAATATGGTCGATAATGATAAACTACCAATTTTCTTAAATGGCGCTGGTCGTGGCAGATTCTCAGCATTCAATTTGCCATTAGGTAGTTTTGTATTTAATTCAAAAGCTTTCTTACTCCCTTTACACCTTCATTTCTCAGTAGTTATTCAATAACATATGTGTCGAAGGCACAAAATAGTCACCATGTTGGGAAACAACAAGTTCATCTCAGTTTACAAATCTATGTCAAAAACAGTGTTTAAGAGTTGATGTCATCCAGTTGGTTAACATAAATTTAATGGAATGACTTTTGCTCTAGTAGTATAGTAGTTGAGAATGTAGTATAGATTACTCAACATTAGCTTATATATATATATATATATATATATATATATATATATATATATATATATGCGTTCGTGTTTGATCTGTATTTACTTTAATGTCTGTTAATTTGTTGTATTTAACTGAAAATTTAATAATAATTTTTATAACATTTACCACTGGTAAATAATAGTTACTTTCAATCGATTGGTTACTGAGTGATGACTAATATTACACTTTTCTAGTTCTTCATCCTGTATGTTTTCTTGTTCCCCTTTTCTTTTAACATTTTCTAAACCAGTTGCTAACGTAATGTCTAATTATTCATTCTTAAAGTGAGCAATCACCCACTTGTATTACTGTTTCTTTTGTTAAACAACTGTCTGAATATGAACAACAATTTACTTTACTTTTTCAGTTTAAAATAAACTTAATAAAACTAATAATATTTTGATTCTGCTAAAATAAAGAAGATCTATATAATTGATGATAAACAGTATCGAATTAAATTAATTATCATCACTTTGAAAAAACTTTTTATTATATCGCAAAAATACATTAACAGAATTTGCTGCATACTTTGTATATTTAACACAAAAATAATGCCGAGTGCTGACTTGTATGTTCATAGTATAAGAGTTTAGTTACCATAGTTCTAGAATTCTCTAGTATTCATTTTCTTTTAAAAAATTAATTTCTAACCATGCCCTTTTCTCACTCAAACTAACCACTTCTTACTGAGATTGGTATGTTAAAATAAAAATATGTATCTTTATTAACAGGTCTGTGGTAAGTGTGAATAGCATGATAAAAGTGTTGGGTCCTAAACTGGTATTACATTTTAACAATATGTCAGACATTATGAATTGTTTCATCTCTATGTCATGTGTCTTTCTTGATACTATTATTCAACAAAATACGAAGTGTCCCACCGGTGACATTGAAGAAATAAGAAATCTTAGGTCCCGACTCAATTGTCGTACCCGTTACTGGCCTCTTTTAAGTTCGAACAGCTCAGTGATAACGTTGTATACTGTAAAGCCGGTTGACCCTGGTTCGAATCCTCTAGTCAGCATCAAATCCCTTGATATTAAAAGCGTACCTTGCTGGTGAGTACCAAATAGCGCTAAACCTATGTCCAGGGTTTCCTGTCGACTACCTCGGACCACCGAACATCTCATAATGGTTACTCATCTCATCACTGCTATTTCCACTTTGTAGGGAAACAATATGGTAATATTTTATGATGAAAGTTAAATTTCTATACAACATAAATTTCGTAGAAAACCGTAAAAGGATATTCTGATGTGTTGTTACAAGTGTCAGTCATTTAAAAAATATATCTTTGTTTTTTTGGACATATTTCATACTAGGTTTGGTGATGATTTTCCGAACAGAAGTATTTTAGTTAGAGTTCTGAGTCTCTTTTGACTTTTTGTAGTACCATTAGCCATAATATAAAACACGACCTTAGTGATTAAGTTGTAAACAGTGGTAAATATTGTTACCGCCATAAGGTTTTTTGGCATTTCACTGCTTGGGTATGGGTAAATTTTAAGTTATTGGAGTTAAACATTATGTACCTTAATAAATTGAGTTCTTTTTAAGGAAATAATTGAATAAAATTTTGTCAAAAGCTATTTATCTCTATATATGTTTACTTATTTATTTCTGCTTACAGAAGAAGGTATCAATGATTTGGACTGGTCAAATGCTATTGGCCCTATACTTGATTCTCTTAACATGGTTATTCAACCAAATTATGTTGTAGTTCAATGTGGAGCCGATTGTTTAGCTACTGATCCACATCGAATATTTCATTTAACTAATTTTTATCCTAGTTTCAATTCAGATTGCGACCCAGAATGTAGTTTAAGTGGCTATTTGTACGCTATTAAGAAAATTTTATCATGGAAAGTTCCAACTTTGGTACTTGGAGGTGGTGGCTATAATTTTCCGGATACAGCCAGGCTATGGACAAGAGTTACAGCTCTGACAATTGAAGAAGTTAAGGGTAAAAAGTATGTTGCTTTCAAGTTTTTTTTAGTTCTTGATCTATTTTCTAGTGCTAATATGTTATCTCGTTTTAGAGAATTCATGAATAATTCACTAGGTTCATCATCGAAGACTTAGTTCCAACTAATCTGTCATCTTGATTCTTTAATCTGCAGAATTTTGTAAATGTATGATTAGTTTGGTATGTTCAAATTCAGTTGTTTTTTGAACTTGATGTTTCATTATCAAGGTGCGTGCTATCACCAATGTGACTTAACAGGATAGTGAAGTAACTTGACTTCTCACCGATATTCTTTATCAAAATGTCTATCTTATTGTGGTGTATGGGTAGCGAACTATTGAGTTTCTTGTGACACGTAATCATAATATAGAGGATACCACTGATATTTATTTGTCTCAATTAGAAAGCTTAAAATTGCGTATGCACTTTAATGCACTTGTACGAAGCAGTGCTTATCGTTGACATGAGATTTATTCAATTTCTTACTGTCCTTATTGTAAAGATTTAAAGCTTGGATTTCAAATATTTTCACATTTTTGTCGCTTCCCAGTGTTTTATTTATCGTAGTCAAGACTTATGACATCAGTCTAGATGCCTACTTTGATACGACAACCTTATAATGTAGCCTTTTTTCAAGGAAGACTATGTATAAATTAGTGGGGTCAGTCAATCAGCTACAACGTAGGACCAGGCACATATATGCATCGGTCTAAATTGCCATGCCCCATTAACAAAACAAGACGGACGCCGGATTCATAAAAGTAGTTAATTCAGAGGCGGTAATATATAAAAGAAAGATTGCAATAAGGATATAGTGCAGGAAGAAAGAATTAGTTCGTAGAAAGATGTGGAGCGATTTTAATCTTTTAGTTTAAGGGAAGACAGATAGTGTATACACGTACGCCATTGTGATCGATTCTCAGCCATGTCACCAAGAGTCTCCAACCATTGGTTACGATAGGCACGCGGACCCCAACCAAGTAGTCTGCATCTACCAACATGACCCAAACTAGAAGTTAGTGACTTTAAGCACCGATGCCACGTTTTGGTTTGGCCGCCCCTAACTTTCTTCCAACCATCCCCAACACCGGTTAGCATTGCACGTCGTGGTAATCGGTGTTCAGGCATACGTAACACGTGGCCCAACCATCTCAGTCGATGAAGATTCATAACCTCATCAACTGATTTACCATCATTCCCTAATACCCTGCGTCTAACCCCACTATTACTTACCTGGGGATCCCAGCAGACGCCAGCAATATTTCTAAGGCATCTGTAATCAAATACTAGTAGCTTACGAGTGTCTTCTACTCTTAACGGCCATGTTTCGCTGCCGTAAATTAAAACAGAACGAACTGCCGCGCAGTATACTCGTCCTTTTATTGATAGACGGATATCTCGCCTTTGCCATACGTGACGTAAGTTGGCAAAAGCCAAACAAGTTTTTCGAATCCTTGCTGAGATTTCATCAGACACCAACCCATTAGGGCTGATCAGACTTCCAAGATAAGTGAAGTTGTCAACGCGTTTGACTACTTCACTCCCTATCCTTAGTTCAGGTGTTGACGCAGACCAGTCCTGAAGCAACAACTTGCATTTAGAGGGAGAGAAGCGCATTCCAAACATTCTGGCATTGTTGCTCAGTGCTACCAAAAGACTCTGCATTTTATCAGCGTCTTCACCAAACAGGACTATATCATCTGCGTATTCTAAGTCGATAAGTGGACCTCTTGGAAGGAGATCAATACCCGAGAATTCAGTAGACGAGAATGTTATTTCCATCAATAGGTCTATGATGAAGTTAAACAAAAATGGAGAAAGTGGACAGCCTTGACGGACACCACTTGAGGTTGCAAAAGCAGATGACAGTTCGCCATAAGCTCTGACTCGACTGGTAGTGTTCAAGTAAAGAGCCTTCGCAAGGTTCCGCCCATCGTTCTAAACGTCTGGAATGGGAGCAGATGAGGGTGTCGTCTTTTTCCGAAATAGTCTGACTTACACTTGATTTATTAATTCCAGTTTCTTTTATTAGTCTGTAGAGCTGTCTTGTGTTCCCTATAGCCGTCGCCTTTTCCATCTCTTTGCTTTCGTTGCCCACCACTGCTCACGGTCGTTCCTTAGACTTTTGTTTAGCCTAGATCTGATTTGTCGTCACTCTTCATCGTGTTCAGAGCCTGATGGGATGAGTTTACGAGAATCCATCAGTGCAATAGACCTTGAGGAAATCCATTGGTTCTTTGTAACCCTGTGGTTTAAATCACTGATAGATGTCACTGCTGTTTCCGCAGCTGTTTGTATATCTTTCCAAGCAACATCTGGGTCAACCTCGTTTTCAGAACTACCTAATTGTGACCTCAGTTGTTCCTGGAACCTACTTTTGGTTTTCTCGCTACTCAATTCAGTTCTGATGGGTCTTTTTACTGTGGCTTTTTTGTGTCCAGTGAGACGCAAGCAGATGCGTGCCCGTATTAGGGCGTGGTCGGAGTCCAAGCAGGTACTCCAGAATGAGCGACAATCTTCTACCGACCCTCTCCAACGATGACTGATGGCAATATGGTCTATTTAAGTCCATCGTTGGTTTGGTGTCGGGGGTCGCCATGTTAGACGATGTCTCTCCTTATGCTTAAAATTTGTGTTTGATAAAAATAAACGATTGTCTGAGCACAGTTGCAGCAGACGATCACCATTATCCGTTCGTTGTGCCGGAATACTAAAATACTCACCTAAATGCCTTTCTGTTTGGTTTAAACTACCTATCTGGGCATTAAAGTCACCTGCTACGAGTACTATGTCTGAACGTTTAGCTTTCTGAAGAAGTTCAGATAGATTTCTGTAAAATTCATCTGAGCTGCAGTCGGTGGGAGCGTAGGCAGGAAGGACGAAAAGCAACGATGTGTGTCCCTATCCTTCCGAGTTCTTACGGAGCCGTCTAACCGAACAGCACATAAACGACTGTTAACAGGGATCCACTCTAACAGTGTTTGTTCGGTCCTCATGCTTAGTGCTATGGCTACACCTGCCAGTCCACGAGAACTGGCCATCGGATCACCAGATACGCGGAGGGTGTATCTCGTTGGCTCTCCGTTTTGCCGAGGTGAGGTCAAGTGAATGACCACACTGGAATCCTGTATGCGTGTTTCGCAGACACAGCATACATCAATGGTACGAGATTCTAGGGTTCTAGCCGAGGAAGCCTGCTGACCGATTTGACATAGGGTTCGTACGTTGAAGGCTCCAATGTGTAGTTTGGAGCGAGGTTTCAGTAGACCTGGGACAGTGTTTTGAGCACTAGAATCGTTGGCTATGGTGACACTCGAGGAGGAAGCCGAAAGAGGAAATTTAGAGGTGAAAGTCGATGTAGGAGGAATAATAGGGATTGAAGAGGGAGGTTGATTATGAATACAGTGGTCTTGAGTGCTGTTAGAGGTATGAGGGCGGTTATCACTTCCCGGTTGCCCACACCGTGGAAGGGTTCTTCTGGAGGTACCTGAAAAGGAAATTGGATTAGAGGTGGTCTTGTGGTGCGTGCTACTTATATTGATATAAGTAGTATATAACGTGAGTCAAAAGAACGTAATGGCTGGCAGCAGAAGATGGAGAAGATCAAGAAAAGAAGAGCGAGAAAACAATGGAATTTGTAAGAAATCGCATGAGCAATGAAATGCGGGACAATGGATTGATGTTTGCAACAGCAACAGCCCGGCTTGATATGATAGAATGATATTTTGCAAATTAACGATTTACTATATGGTTTTTCTATTTTACCAAGTAATTCTGTAATTTGTCCTAAATACGATTTGGCTGTCCTCACCCGTGTTCTTCTTCACTCCAGTCTTAGTGACCTGAGAGCCCAAGGGACAACTGCTTGAGGTCGGCCACACGCGACCTTTTTATGGGTGATTTTTGTGTTAGCTCCGTACTTGTTGAGACCTTACCGCCGGAGACGGATATCCGTGGGATAAGGCGAGGTGTGCATTTTTAGGGTGGACTTTTTCTAACCCCACCCCTCCTTGTGGGAAGGCAGCATCGCTGTCATGCTGGTTGTCTGAAGGAAACACCTTACTGCTGTCACACCTCTGTACAGTCAGCAGTACGACTTCGCCTTCGGACCTTGGGTTTGTTGCTTTTAGTCTTACCGCTCTTCAACCGACCTGTCTGACATGGTAGGACCTTGAGGAACGGTTGTTCCAGCCAGTATAGCTCGATTGCTTCATCACGGCAGGCAAGTCCGACCACCACGTCAAGGTAGCAACAACGGTCGGAATTTCTTTTCATTAAAAATACCTCCTATACTGAGGTTATGGTCTTATTCCAACTTCTCAACTTTATGTTAATCTTTAGTTATATTTCATTTTCGAATTTAAGTAAAACCAAGACCATCATGAACGGTGTGACTAACAGTTGTTGATTATTACTATACCTTAAATTTACAAATACTTCTTTTCCGCGTCTGTTTACTACTACAGGATGACACTTCTCCCTGAAATTCCAGAACACTCCTACTTTTCTCGTTATGGTCCGGATTTCGAACTAGACATTGATTATTTTCCACACAAAAGTCGTAAAGAAACATTTGACAGTATACAGAAACATCATCGACGTATTCTCGAACAGTTGCGAAATTATGCTGATTTAAATAAAATGACTTATGATTATGACAAAGTGTACCAATTATATAATTTAACTGATATGTAAAGTGCAGCTATGAATTTATCCTCTGTTTACCATGGATTTATTGCTCCAAACTTTTTAGTGATGCAGTTCTACAGTTTTATCTCTGTAAATAAAAATACATATATGCTATTATCATTATTGTGTTTACATTTTGTCCTTAATATATCTAGAAAAAAATTAAAGATATTTTCATACTACAAATGTAAACATGGCTCACTTTATCATTATGAGGGCAACAATAGTCCTTGCAAAATGAAAATATTAAAGGTAGATCTGACTGTGTACTGGATTTTTCTCTTTTCCTGTTTACATCCAAAATGCTTAAAACGAAACAGGCGAAACGTCTACTACTGCAGTGATTATATCAAGCGTAAAGCTAAGAGTGGTAGCTGATTAATTTATATGAACATGTAGTGGCTTTGCTTCGGTAATCAATCACCTTTGTGACTGTTATTGTATAAATCCCAACGGTGTTTGAAATCAGGAGGCAATAAAAGTGGTGACTACGGTTTATTAGTGGATAGCACAGATAACAAAACTACAAACACATCAAGCGAATTCGAAGCAGAGACGAATATGTTCATGTGAGCAAGTACAGAGGCAAATTTATAGTCAAATCGCATAAGGGCACAGCAAAGGCTAACGATAAGATTCGCGTACGTATATACATGGGAAGAGAATGAATCGTCGAGCGATACTTAAACTATCAACATTTTAGCTAGAGTCTGTTGTGTGATCAATCGTACACGTTTATAAAGATATGATAGTGATCATAATAGTACAATGAAATATGCGAGTTGTTACTGTTCGAACAATATTGTCTATTAAGTAAGGTAATAAAAAGGGCTTAACTAAAATTAACCACAATCGAAATTGATTGTAGGAGAGTTGTTATTAGTCATTTTGGAAATCACTTAATTTAACTTGTGCCAGATATCAATCAAATTGAGAAAACCGGACCCTATTTATTAGTGAACTATTCTGACTGATTGTGACCCAACTTTGACATTCACATGCTCA